CGGTTGTGCCGCTTTGAGCAGCAGCCGCAGCGTCTGGGCGCAAGCACCGCGCAGCAGGGCAATACTGCCGCGCCGCTTGCCACGCAGCAGGCGTCCGTAATATTTAAGTGCAAGATTGTTTTACCGCAAGATACCCCCACCGCTGGCCTCCTAGCAGCGGGCGATTAACACATGCCCCTCCTGCTATGCGGCGCCACGCAAGGTGAGAAGAAAAAGCGCGACTTGTGTGTGGCGTTCGTTGGGCGCGAGCAAAAAAAAAAAAAAGAAGAGAAAAACGGCGGGGTATTTTGTCTCTTCCCCTCTTTATTTTACTTTTCTTTTGAACCGCATTTGGAAAACGGTGATTTGCGGTTATGCACACCCCTTCTGGAATATGTAAAAAAAAAACGGATACGGAAAGCTACGTCGATATTGTTTTTGTTTTTTATTTTGGCCTTGTTTTGTTTTTATTCTATTTCGGTGTGTGTGTGTTTTTTTCACGTCTCAAACGGCGTGTGGTGGAAATAGCAATAAGGACTGCCCGTTGGCTGGCATGCCTTTGGCGTTGCACTGAGCCCCGCCCGCCCCCTTGTCTTTTACATTGGCGGTGCGCGGCGGGTCTGCATCTAATTTAACTTTGTGCGGCGCGAGCGTCTCAGCGGAGGGCAAACGTGTTTTTGTAGGAAATTGTAGAAATAACCTGTCACGCGATGGGGGTAAGCAAAAGTAAGAGATGATTTTTTTCGTAGGGGTATCCCGTTTTTTTTTCCTTGTTCGACGGGGTTTTGTTTCCAAAGATCCCGCGTTGGACGGCTGCGAGTGCAGTTTTTTGGTTTTCTGCCACGTCCCTCCCCTGTCCTCAACAATCTTCACGCGGGGGAGTTCGGCGGTGGCAGTGCCCCAAACACTGCCAGTTCGCCGGGCCCAGCGAGTCCGGCGATCGGTAGACGTCTTTTTAGTGCGTTTCCTTGACGGGTGTGTGGGTGAGGCTGCTCGTGCGCCGGTGGCGTGGGGCCGAGCTGTGATCTTCTGTTGTTTTCCTTTCACCCTGCAGACAGAAGGAAGGGGGCCGCGCCCGGGCTACACGCTCGCCGTTGTTTTTCTGCAGAGCGGCCCTTGGCCGGGGAGTGGGGGGCCGGCGAGGAGCATGCGCGCGGCTGCGGGCCCACAACCGCCGAGATGAGCCGCCTTAGCGCGCTTGCGACTTTTTTGTTGCCTCGTGCGGGCGGGGCGCGAGGTGGGGGCGTCGGCGGGCACTCCGCGTGGGGCCCGAGCCTCCCGCCGCACGGTGAGGGGCCGCGGGCGCCCGGCCGGAGGAGCCCGGGTGTCCCCGGCGGCCGTCGCCGAGCGTCTGGAGGACAAGGGCGCACGCACAGGGTGTCTACCTGACCCGCGTTCCCGCCTCCGCGGCGCCCACCGGCGGCGTCTTCAAGACGCGCCAACCAAAGTCATTTGGGGTCGCCCGCGGGGGGCGATGTCCCCGCGCAGCGCCTCCTCCCCCGCTGGCGGCGACATGGGGAGGAGGGGCTTCCACGGGGGGATGGCGGCGCAACGACTCGCCACCAGTGAGACGGAAGCTCCGCTTGCGACGCGCACAACGGTGCGCATTGGTTGGGGTCTTCTGCTCTCATTTTTAGGACCCTCGGCGGCGCTGCGCCGGGAGGTCTGGGGGCGCGAGTTGCCGTGCGGTCGGCTGTGCCACCCGTGCCGTGTGACTGCCGGGCGGCGGCGGGAAGGAGGCCCTCAGCCCGTGCTTGCGGGGCGGCGCGCGGAGGGCTTCCGAGAGGCGGCAGAGTGAGGCAGCCGCGGGCGCGGTCCGCGTGGAAGTCGCCCGGGCCTATGAAGAGCCGCCTGTGCCGTACAGGAAGGGCCCCCTCGTCGCGCTCGCTCCTGCGGCGCAGTGCCCACGGTCGACCACTAATAAAGCGGCATCGACGTCAGCCAGTTGAGTTCTCCACTGAGTTCTCCATCGCCTCGGCGGTTGCGCGCGCGCGCGGACGGCCTCGAGGATGGATGGAAGCTTGACGGGGCGAGACAACAACAACAAAAACAAACATAGAATGGGCAGGGGGGAGAAGGAGGGAACGCGGGGCTGGGGAGCAGAGTGCTTTGCTTTTGCTTCTTTGCGGAGGAGCCTCTCGCTTTGCTTGCCTCTTCTTCTCGCACCAACCTGGCACCCGACGTAGATGGAGTCGCCGGCGAGAGGCGAGGGGACTACGC